TGCCCCTACCCACAGGAGAAAGACAGCTGGAACCGAGTGGCCCGCACAGTGGACCGCCTCTGCCTGTTTGTGGTGACGCCTGTTATGGTGGTGGGCACAGCCTGGATCTTCCTGCAGGGCGTTTACAACCAGCCACCGCCCCAGCCTTTTCCTGGGGACCCCTACTCCTACGATGTGCAGGACAAGCGCTTCATCTAGGGTGGGCCTGTGGGGGAGCCAGGAGACAGCAGGGTCTGAGAGAGGAGTCATGGTCCCTAATGAGACCCACTCATAGCCCTGAGGCTCACGCCCCTCAGACTGGGGAAGAGTCCAAGGAAGGAAGGGAGCAGCCACTCCTCAATGCTCAATGGCTCCCCTGAAATCAAGACAGGGCCACCTGAGATGGTCTGAGGGTGGACACCGGCTATAGCAGGTGGGCAGGACGATCTACGGGGAAGTAGGAGGCTGGCTCAGGGGCCAGGAAGGAGGCCACTCAGGGTGGCCTCACAGGGAGAACTCTGATAGGGGTGAGATAGATAGGGCCCCTTCTCTGCTCCTCCTCCCGCAAGGTGTGGGGTAGAGCAGGCAGAAATCTGCGCCTTCACTCCCTGGCTCCTCCAGCCTCCCTCTTCCCACCTACCCTTCAACCTCAGGCTTCTGAGGCCTCACCTGGGACTGAGGTTGAGGACACCTCCCTCCCTCCAGACCCCAGAGTCTCCTTTCCTAGCTCTTTCTGCCTTGACCACTCTGCCTAGGTCCCTTTGGGAAGTTGAGGACTGGAGTGGAAAGGTCAGGATTGACATCCACAAAGACTTGGGGTCAACCTGAGGTTGCACGCACAGTCCTAGAGGACCGGAATGCAGCACCTCTCCCCAAAGGGCCCCTGCCCCCCAGCATCTACTTCTCCCCAAAGTAGGGTTATCATGCATTATTTGGGGCATATTCTAAAAAACTCATTCGTTGTTTCTCTGAAATTTGTCCTGTATTTTTATTTGCTAAATCTAGCAACCCTATCCCAAAGACAGCCTCCATTCAATCCTATCCTGAGGGCCAAAGGCCAGTACTGCAGGAATTGGGAGACAAGGGTCTGTTTGTATGGCAGCCCACCTCCAAGATGGCCCTGGTGACACCCAGTATTCACAGTCTTGTGCAGTCCCCTCACTCTGTACCAGGGTGGGTCTGGGTAACCAACAGAATGAGGCAGAAGTGATGGTACCTCACTTCCCAGAGTCACTTAGGAAAGACACTAGGGCCTCTTTCTTGCTCATTCACCCTCATTCTCACAGCAGTTGGATCTCTCACTTTGGGGAAGCCAGCTGGCACGTTGAGGAGCCCTATGGAGAGGCCCACACGGCAAGGAAATAAGGCCTCCTGCCATCAGCCACGTGAGTGAATGTGGAAGTGGATCCTCTGCCCCAGTAGGGCTTTTGGATGAGATCACAGCCCAGTAGACATCTTATGTGCAGCACCATGAAAGTCCTTAAGCCAGAACCACCAGCTAAGTGGCTCCTGGATTCCTGATCCCCCAGAAACTGTGTGAGATAATAAATGTGTGTTGTTTTAAGTAACAAAGTTTTGGTGTCATTTGTTATACCAGCAATGTGACCTTGAGTGAGCTGCTCTTCATCTCTTACCTTCCATTTTCTAATCTGCAAAATGTGGGGTCTAGTGAGTCCTAGTCATGGGGTGTTGTGAAAATTGAATTTCTAGTTGTAGCATTTTCATGTGACCTGCACATTTAATGGGTGGTGATTTAACCCATTTCCCTCAGTGGGGAATTGGTGACCTCATTAACTCAGATATATAGAAGGTGAGATTTTTAATGTTTAGATGTAACCAAGGAAAAAGAAAAACCATTTAAAACCAAAACTGACCCCAGTAACTTCTGCCTTCCAGCATGAACTATATTCACAAAATTCAAGGTACAAATCTTTTATTTTCCTGTCTAAATAGGAAAGCCAGTTTGTTCTCACACCCGTCAGGTGAGCAGGAAGTCTGAGACTTCGCCAGGAATAGTCCATCAACTCAGGGAGGGTCCGTCTTATGTACAGGGATGAGAGTGAGTCTAGGGCTCTCAGCCACAGTCTTTGCTTCTCTCTGCCTCATGGTGGCGCTGCTGGCAACAGGTCTTGGTTCAACCACCAGCTGAGTCCTCAGTTCTATTAGGCCCTGCTCAAGTGGCTGTGGACTTCCAGAGAAGACAACCCCAAAATGTCACACAAAACTGGGGGGGTGCCTCTTGCACAGGCTCCCAGGGAAACCACGGTTTCCACCAGCAGCACCCGCTCCCCCAGCACCGTGGTGCTCTCAGGACTGGTCCACTCTGACTGACATGGAACTCCATATTCTGTCCCCGGGAAGTCATGCTCATGGGCACAGCTTTCGGGGAAGCCAGAGAGTGTTCCTTACTCTCTCCAGACCAACAGGGCTACCTGCTCTCTTTCAATGGACAGTGAATCAGTAATACACTGGGATGCAAGGAACAGAAAGCTCAAGGAATTGTAGTTTAAACACAAAAGGTTTCCTTTTTCTCACATAATAATAGGGAGGCGGAGGTGATCACATCGCCTCAGCTGTCTAACAAAGCTATCAGGGACCCAGGCACTTTGCCATCTGCCCAGCCCTGCCTCCATGGCAAGCTGGCTTCTGTCCTCAGACCTGTTGGCCCCAGGTTGCGAGCTGACAGCAACAGCTGCACAATTAGCACCTATGTTCAGGCAGAAAAGGGCCAGCCATTTCTGACCCCTTTCATCAAGAAGCAAAACTTTTCCAGAGGCCGGACATAGTGGCTCACGCCTGTAATCACAGCACTTTGGGAGGCCAAGGCGGCTGGATCACCTGAGGTAAAGAGTTCAAGACCAGGCTGGCCAACATGGTGAAATCCCCTCTCTACTAAAAACACAAAAATTAGATGGGCGTGGTGGTGCCCGCCTGTAATCCCAGCTACTCAGGAGGCTGAGGCAAGAGAATCGCTTGAACCCAGGAGGCAGAGGTTGCAGTGAGCCAAGATCAAGCCATCGTACTACAGCCTTGGCAACAAGAGTGAAACTCCATCTCAAAAAAAAAACAAACAAACAAAAAATAACTTTTACATAAAGTCCCTGCAGACATCCCACAGGTCGAAACATCACATGGCTAGCCTATCTGAAGGGAGACTAGGAAATGAGTATTTTACTCTACCAGCCATTATAACAGAGGGTGGCAAAGGAGTAGTGTTAGACAATTCTACAGACAATTTTCTCTGAATGGGTCCTGTCCCTGCACACGCAACCCCTCCAAGAAACTGCCATTCCTCATTGATGATTTACCCTTCGGAGAACACCAAGAAGGCTTCTAGGCCGTCTCTCCCAGAGCAGGGAGAGGGAGAAAACAGGAGGGTCGGGGGCAGGGAATGCAGGGACAGGTGGTCCACTGTTTGGCAGTGCTTCCTGATCTTGGAGGCCATTGATGAATTTGGTAAAGTGTGGGCATAAAGGAGAGTAAAGAGGTGGAGAGAAAATGATCTGCAAAAGAGGATAAGAAAACTGCATCTAGGGGGACCAGAGGGCAAAATGGAAAGGCAAGGGTCTCAGAAGTGAGAAGGACACAAGGGCTTTGTAAATTCCAGGAAGAGTGGGCCACACAGAGAGAAGCTCAGTGGCAGGGGAGGGGTGAGCTTACCCCCCACTGAGGGGAAGCTCAGGGAGGGGGAAGCTCAGGGAGGAGGAAGCTCAGGGAAAGGGAAACCCAGTGAGGGGGAAGCTTAGGGAGGGGGAAGTTCAGAGAGGGATGCTGAGTGAGGGTGATACCCAGTGAGGGCGATGCCGAGTGAGGGGGATGCCGAGTGAGGGTGATACCCAGTGAGGGCGATGCCGAGTGAGGGGGATGCCGAGTGAGGGCGATGCCGAGTGAGGGCGATACCGAGTGAGGGCGATGCTGAGTGAGGGGGATGCCGAGTGAGGGGGATGCCGAGTGAAGGGGATGCCGAGTGAGGGGGATGCCGAGTGAGGGGGATCCTGAGTGAGGGGGATCCTGAGTGAGGGGGATCCTGAGTGAGGGCGATGCCGAGTGAGGGGGATGCCGAGTGAGGGGGATCCTGAGTGAGGGGGATGCCGAGTGAGGGGGATGCCGAGTGAGGGGGATCCCGAGTGAGGGGGATCCTGAGTGAGGGGGATCCTGAGTGAGGGCGATGCCGAGTGAGGGGGATCCTGAGTGAGGGGGATGCCGAGTGAGGGCGATGCCGAGTGAGGGGGATGCCGAGTGAGGGGGATCCTGAGTGAGGGGGATGCCGAGTGAGGGGGATCCTGAGTGAGGGCGATGCCGAGTGAGGGAGATGCGCAGTGGCAGGCCAAGATGGGCGGATCACTTGAGGTCAGGAATTCAAGACTGGCCTGGCCAACATGGTGAAACCCCGTCTCTACTAAAAATACAAAAAAAAAAAAAAAAAAATAGCCAGGCATGTTGGCACGTGCCAGTAGTCCCAGCTACTCAGAAGGCTGAAGTAGGAGAATCAAGGTGGAGGTTGTAGTAAGCCAAGATCACACCACTGCACTCCAGCAAAAAAGCAAAAAAAATCCTCACATGCCTACCCAACAGCCTTCACACCCACCCAAATCCTGACTCCCTAGAGGGAGCAGGAGGGAGTCCACCTCAGCCCTCTCTGGAGCTGCCATCAGGTTCCTTGGCAACCTGCCTTCCCTACCACACCCAGCTGGCCCTGGCTGTGTCCTTGGCCCCCATGTGGAACACGGAGGTGGGGCTGGGACAACTGAGCCCGAGTTGGGGCTGGAAGGTGGATGTCTCTTTTGGGGCAGACGGGGCCCCTGTCTCCCCTCTCCAGCCCAGGTAATCTGAGCCCAGCATTGTGTCCATCCTGGAACAGCTGACAAGGCTGTGGTCAGACAGCTGGTGGGGCTGGGCCGGGTTGGCTGGGCTGACTGGGGTGGGAGTGTAGGCTGTTATATGACACCCAGAGCCCATCTCTCTCTGCCCCAGACCTTGGAGCTGTTGTCCCACCCGTCACTGCAGAGAGCTGAGGCGCCATGCATGGGGGCCAGGGGCTGCTGCTCCTCCTGCCGCTGCTGGCTGTCTGCCTGGGTAGGACACAAAGGAATCTCAGCCTAGGGAGTCCCAGAGCTGGGGTCCACAGCCTCAGGGGATGGAGAGCCTGAGGGCTATTGGGGCCTGCCCTGGATCCAGTTCCCTGAGTCTCCACTTCACACCCCCAGGGCCTCCCCAATCTTTCCGCCTCCAAGCTCCTGTTAGGCTCACGCCTGTCTATTGCAGGGGTCCAGGGCCGGAACCAGGAGGATCGCCTGCTCGCAGACCTGATGCAAAACTACGACCCCAACCTGCGACCTGCGGAACGAGACTCGGATGTGGTCAACGTCAGCCTGAAGCTAACCCTCACCAACCTCATCTCCCTGGTAAGCCGCAGGATGGAGGAGGGGTCGGTGCACCAGGCCCTGGGACCTGCTGGGGATAGCATGGGGTGACTCCAGCCACCAAGAGGTTGGAGGGCCCCACAGGGGACAGGCTGGGGTCTGGAAAACCCCCATGATTGTGGGGGGTGTACTGTCAAGAGGCTGGGGGATGCTTGGCCCCATCGGTGGCCTGTGGGGACTGGCACTGAAGTTGGGGGCTGAGCCCTCCATACTGCACCCTTGCACCCCCAGAACGAGCGAGAGGAAGCCCTCACCACCAACGTCTGGATAGAGATGGTAAGAGGCCACCCTGCTACCCTCCTTCCATCAGGGGCCCCACCTCACCACCCCAAGGCCTCCTGAGAGTTGCCTGCCCGCTTCCTGCCTCTTCTGTCCTCTTGGGCTGGATGCCCACTCCTAGGGGTGTGGTGCAGCAGAGGGCAGAGGCCTAGCAACTGCCCCTCCCCCTGCAGCAGTGGTGCGACTATCGCCTGCGCTGGGATCCGCGAGACTACGAAGGCCTGTGGGTGCTGAGGGTGCCATCCACCATGGTGTGGCGGCCGGATATCGTGCTGGAGAACAAGTGAGGAGGGGGCGCAGGCAGGGGTGTGGGGGACAAAGAACACAGGGTCTGGGCCCAGCAGAACAAGGGGGCTCTGGGAAAAGAGAAAGATGAGCAGGGGGTGCAAATTGGGCACCTGTGCGGCTAGGGAAGAACTGGATGGAGCAGGTGCCAAGGGCAGGGCCCTGGGTATGGCCTCTGACCCCAGGGCCAGCAGACCAGACCCTACGCCAGGCTCCATTCCCTCTGGGCTGGGCTACCTGGTGGGCTGCTCCCTTCCCTGTAACATGGGGCCACTGACGGGTCCTACAGAAGCTGGTGGGAGTCAACAAGACAGGCATGAAAAGTGCCTCACTTGGGGGCTGGCACATGGTGTGGGCTTAACACGTTAATCGCTATTGTATTATTATTATTACTATTAAACAAGAGAGAGAAAGAGAAGCAGAAATTAGGAGGTGGTGCCTGAGGAAGTCTGTCTGGGGCAGGGGTGGCAGGAGGATTGCTGGGGGGACCTAGTGGTCCGGGTGGGAACCACTCAGGGGGTGACAGGCTGGTAGGGACTTGTGTCCCCAGGCCCCTATCCACATGGGGCAGAGGGGCTGGTCTGGGGCTGGGGTGTCGGGGGCTGAGCCCACAGCCTCGTGGCCTGGCCTGTTCTGTGCACACAGCGTGGACGGTGTCTTCGAGGTGGCCCTCTACTGCAATGTGCTCGTGTCCCCTGACGGCTGTATCTACTGGCTGCCGCCTGCCATCTTCCGTTCCGCCTGCTCTATCTCCGTCACCTACTTCCCCTTCGACTGGCAGAACTGCTCCCTTATCTTCCAGTGAGGCCATTTATGGGGGAGGATTAAGAGAGCTGCTCTCAGAGGGCCCTGGGCAGGGGTGGGGCAAGGCCTGGGCAAGCCTTCTGGCCTTGGCTCCGGCAGCACCTAGAGGCCAAGGGCCTGGCTCCATCTCCTCTGGGCCTCTGTGCCCATCTCAGGCTAAGACGCCTGAAGGTGCCCAAGCTCTCCCTGCTAAGCTCGAGTCCCCTCACTCATCCTCCTTCACTGCCTCAGTTTCCTCGCCTGTGCCCCAAGGGGAGACATTCACACCTGGGGTGCATGGGTGAGAAGGCACACATGCACACAACATGCATGTCTGCGCACACACGAAACCACTGCACACTCCAGGCCCCCAGGGAGGCAGGGCTGTTCTGTGAGAGAGGGGCCCTGGCAGGGAACCCAGCGGAAGCATGTGTGCAACCAACCACCCCTGGGCGTCTCTGGGTCTGTTTCCTCAAACCTAAGTGTGGGGAGGAGGGCCTGAGGGAGGGTTCTCCTGTATCTTAGAGGAGCAGTCTTTCCACAAGCAAACCTGGCAGGGAGACTCCCCTCCGTAGACACAAGGGTCCTCCTTAGTTAGGCATGTATATTCTACATTGCCATCATCAGCCCCTCCTGCCAGACAGCAGTGGGAGGGACACATGCAGAGTGGCCCTGGGCCCATCAGCCAGGTGAGGGCCCTGCAGCCTCCTGGGCCTTCAACTCAATCTTCCTGACCCCAAAGAGCCCTAGGTCCCCTACTCTCCATATCTCACCACTGGGGTTTTATGGAGAACTCAGAAGCATGGGGCTGCATCTTGCTGAAGCAAAGCTTCCCACACTTGTCCCCAGATGGTCATCCCCATGCAGTCATGGCAGGTCTACCCACTCACATTTAGCCTCTTTCCTCGGTGACTCCCAGGTCCCAGACTTACAGCACCAATGAGATTGATCTGCAGCTGAGTCAGGAAGATGGCCAGACCATCGAGTGGATTTTCATTGACCCTGAGGCCTTCACAGGTAACCCCCACCCAAGGGCTCCCCAGGCAGCCTCATCCAGAGCTCCTGCTGGACCAAGCTGTGGTCAAGGCTGGACCAAGGTCAAATCCCTCCCATGTAACTCAAAATGAAAACTACAGCAAACCATAAAATATGCTTTTTAAAACATCCAACAAAGCTCTGACTTTCCTCATGATAATGACTCCAATTTTAGAAGGAGAGGCTCAAGTATCCAATCTCCCACCCCACTTCTGTCCTGCAAGGGTGCCTCCCCTGCTGGTGCTCCTTAGGGCACATGCTGCCCTTGCAGCTGGGTCACTCAGGCTGCAGGGATCTGCCTAGCCCACACTTCCTGTGCCCACTCCTGCCTGCCTGCCTGCCCGCAGAGAATGGGGAGTGGGCCATCCAGCACCGACCAGCCAAGATGCTCCTGGACCCAGCAGCACCAGCCCAGGAGGCAGGCCACCAGAAGGTGGTGTTCTACCTGCTCATCCAGCGCAAGCCCCTCTTCTACGTCATCAACATCATCGCCCCCTGCGTGCTCATCTCCTCCGTTGCCATCCTCATCTACTTCCTTCCTGCCAAGGGTACCTGGAGCCTATGGGAGAGAGCCGTCCAGTAGCACAGGGGATACCTGGGAGGCCGGGGCGGGCCCTGCCTGGGGCACAGAGTGGCATTACGACCCAGGACAGAGGCAGCGGGCTACTTCTGGGGTAAGGGTTTCCTCTGTGGGTGGGGAAGGTAGGGACCTGCTCTGAGAGCCTCTCGGTCACTGGCAGCTGGGGGCCAGAAGTGTACCGTCGCCATCAACGTGCTCCTGGCCCAGACTGTCTTCCTTTTCCTTGTGGCCAAGAAGGTGCCTGAAACCTCCCAGGCGGTGCCACTCATTAGCAAGTAAGGCTGGTCTTCATGCCCACCCGCCTACCCCACTCTCCCTTCTTGGGAGCACAATGGCCTCCTGCATTGCCCTTTTGCCCTCCATCCACCCCAGCATCCTCAATTCAGGAGGCCTGACGGGGGCAGCCACTAAGGGTGGGGGTAGCATCATGGTATGGGCTGCCAGCTCCTGCCCACCCCACCCTGACAGGTACCTGACCTTCCTCCTGGTGGTGACCATCCTCATTGTCGTGAATGCTGTGGTCGTGCTCAACGTGTCCTTGCGGTCCCCACACACACACTCCATGGCCCGAGGGGTCCGCAAGGCAAGGACCTTCCCTGCCCACTTCAACATCCTGCCGCCCACTCCCCTACACCTCCCTCTACACCTGGCCATATTCCTCACCTGTGACATTCCACAGCACACCCATCCTGGGTGTATCTTGAAGCATGGGCCAAAATCGATTACAGTAATACAGTAATGAAATTGCTTCCTAGGTGCCAGGGATATTACAAATGTTAATGTATTTCATCTTCATAAAATCCATATCATCTCCAATTACAGATGAGGACATTGAGGCGCAGAAAGGTTAAGTAACTTGCCCAAGAAAGTGCACTACGAAGTCAAAAAAGCAAGAGTCTCCCAGGGTAGTCTGATTCTAGTCTGTGATCTATAGCCCACCTGCAGCCTTCAGCTTGGGCCCTTGTTGCACATGCAGATTCCCAGGCCTGCCCCAGGCATTCTAGGCCAGAATAGCATGAGGGTTGGGGGCAGGAATCTGTGTTTGTAAAAAGTGCCCTGGTGATTCTGATGTGCACTGAAGTTTGCGGACCCAGGCTCATGTCCAGTACAGAGCTTTACCAAGGCCACATCACTGCCCTGGTATGTGCCTAGCAGCACAAGCCCTTAACACCAACTTCCTGCTTCTGCTCTGAAGCTCGGCCTGGCTGCCCTAGTGAAGCCACCCCCTCTCTAGGTGTTCCTGAGGCTCTTGCCCCAGCTGCTGAGGATGCACGTTCGCCCACTGGCCCCGGCAGCTGTGCAGGACACCCAGCCCCGGCTACAGAATGGCTCCTCGGGATGGTCGATCACAACTGGGGAGGTGGCCCTCTGCCTGCCTCGCAGTGAACTCCTCTTCCAGCAGTGGCAGCAGCAAGGGCTGGTGGCAGCAGCGCTGGAGAAGCTAGGTGAGACATTGCAGGTGTGCCTGGGGACACTCCTCCCCTGGGACTCCAGCTGGGGAGCCAGACACAGCAGATGAGTGCTGGAGAAGTGTCCAGGTCAGGGAGAGAGCAGCTGGGGTCCCTAAGGAGAGGCCATCTTCTCTGCCTGTTTCTCCTCCATTGTACTCCCAAACCTTATCCTTTCTCTTTATCAGAGAAAGGCCCGGAGTTAGAGCCGAGCCAGTTCTGTGGCAGCCTGAAGCAGGCTGCCCCAGCCATCCAGGCCTGCGTGGAAGCCTGCAACCTCATTGCCCGTGCCCGGCACCAGCAGAGTCACTTTGACAATGTAAGCTGAGTCAGGGTGGGGTGGAGTGAGTACCTGGGCTTGGACCTGTGATGGAGACAGGATGAGTGGGGTGGCCAAGATAGGGCAGTGGGATGGAAAAAGAGGAGTTTGGGAGCAGTGGCTCACATCTGTAATCCCAGCACTTTGGGAGGCCGAGGCAGGTGGATTCACCTGATGTCAGGAGTTTGAGACCAGCCTGCCAACATGGCAAAATCCTATCTCTACCAAAAATTAGCTGGGCGTGGTGGTGGGCACCTGTATTCCCAGCTACTCAGGAGGCTGAGGCAGGAGAATCGCTTCAACCTGGGAGGTGGAGGTTGCAGTGAGCCGAGCCGAGATCGCACCACTGCACTCTGTCCTGGGTGAAAGAGTGAGACGTGAGACTCTGTCTCAAAAAAAAAAAGAAAGAAAAAGGAACAGGGGCAGCGGGGATATCTCAGGGCCAGGGGACCATGGAATTAGCCACCAGTTGGGACCTGGACATAGGTAAGAAGGGCCCCAGGAAACGGAGACATGGGCCTGCTGGAAGCCCAAGGATGAGAACGGGACCCAGGGAAGACCTGGTGCCGCCGCAGGCCATCCGACACCTGACTCCCACCCTCAGGGGAATGAGGAGTGGTTCCTGGTGGGCCGAGTGCTGGACCGCGTCTGCTTCCTGGCCATGCTCTCGCTCTTCGTCTGTGGCACGGCTGGCATCTTCCTCATGGCCCACTACAACCGGGTGCCAGCCCTGCCATTCCCTGGAGATCCACGCCCCTACCTGCCCTCACCAGACTGAGCCAACCAACCACCGCGGGGCACGTGGGAGTCACACACGTGGGTCACACTGAGTCTTATCGGCCACATTCTCCTACTGAGGTCCTAAGTGTACTCTTTGGGAAGTGCCCTTCAGGGCTGTGTGAGCCAAACAGCCCTAAGAAAAGCTGGGGAAAGAGTCTGAGCTGGAGTCCGGGAGTGGCTGGGGGTGGGCTGTGGTTAGTGTGCTGCTGCGGTCAGCATGCGTGCGGGACTGGCTAGCTTGTCCTGGCACTAGCCGCTCCTCCACTCAGTGCACTCCCCTCACTTAGGCCAAGCATTACTCATTCCCATCAATCTGAAGTCCAAAGGACTGTTTTGTGTAATACCTTCGGGCTTGGGACTGGCTCCCTCTTTACAAGTTCTTCCTGAAAGAGGGCAGTCAAGAGAGGTGTGAAGAGTAGCAGCCAATGCTCTCTCCAAAGCAGGGCAGCAGCCCATGCCAGCTGGCATCTCCCCACTGTGCCTTCTGGGTACAATAAGCACCCAATTCTCAAAAGCCCCAGTGGCCTTTCCATTCATGTGCATTTTTCTACCACTGACCACAAGACAATTTCCTGAGTTTTGTAATCCTTTTTTTTTTTTTAGTTTTTGATGTGTTGTTGTTGTTTTGTTTAGTTTTGAGACAGAGCCTCACTCTTGTCATGCAAGCTGGAGTGGAGTGGCATGATCACAGCTCACTGCAGCCTCAACTTCCGGGGCTCAAGCGATCCTCCTGCCTCAGTCTCCCAAGTAGCTGGCACCACAGGCATGCACCACTACACCCAGCTACTTTTAAATTTTTAGTACAGATGAGGTTTTGCTATGTTGCCTAGGTTGGTCTTGAACTCCTGAGCTCAAGTGATCCTCCCACTTGAGCCTTGGGATTACAGGCATAAGCCACTGTACCAGGCCTCCTCCTGTTTTTTTTTTTTTTTTTTTTTTTTTTGAGATGGAGTCTTGCTCTGTCCTCCAGGCTGGAGTGCAGTGACACAATCTCGGCTCACTGCAACTTCCGCCTCCTGGGTGCAAGCGATTCTCCTGGCTCAGCCTCCTGAGTAGCTGGAATTACAGGCACACATCACCACGCCCAGCTAATTTTTTTTTTTTTGTATTTTTAGTAGAAATGGGGTTTCACCATGTTGGCCAGGCTGGTCTCGAACTCCTGACCTTGTGATCCGCCCACCTCAGCCTCCCAAAAAGTGCTGGGATTACAGGCGTGAGCCACCGCGCCAGGTCACCTGGCCTCCATTTTAATTAAGAGCTCCTCACAGCAGTATGACAAGCAAGAATCATTATTCCCCATGTTATATAGGCAAATTGAGCCTAGAGTAAGAGGGACTCCACACAACACTGGTGGCTAAACGAGGTTTGAAGTCCAGAATTCCTGACTCTGACCCAATCCGACATTCTAAGATTCTATGGCCTGAAAAACAGGCCCTTCTTCCCAAAGGATGGTTGAGACAAGAAAGAGCCAGGCAAGAAGAGTGTGGAGTTAACAGAAAGCCACTGAGCTCTTCATTCCAGGAGGAGACTTTGGCCTTCCTTGACCCCACTAATCAGGTAGTAAGGCAGTAAGCCGGGGTCTTCCTGTGGGAGAGGCAAGGTCCTGCTCTAAGATTACAGCTGGCACAAGAGTTCGGCTGGTAACCAGGGGACACCCTTGGGCAAGTCACCTATGCTCCCTGAGCCTGTTCCCTCATCGGTAAATAAGATGCAAAAAATAATCCATTCCTGACCAGGTGTGGTGGCTCACACCTGTAATCCCAGCACCTTGAGAGGACAAGGTGGTGGACTGCTTAAGCTCAGGAGCCCAGGAACCCAGGAACCCAGCCTGGGCAACATGGGGACACCCGGTCTCTACCAAAAAATAAAAACTTAGCTGGGCGTGGTGTCCCAGTTACTCGGGAGGCTGAGGTGGGGGGATCGCTTGAGCCCAGGAGGTCTAGGCTGCAGTGAGCTGTGATCATGTGACTGCACTCCAGCCTGATGACACAGTAAGAGCCTGTCTCAAAAAAAAAAAAAAAAAAATTACAAAACTAAAAAAAAAGTGAAAGTGCCACATAAAGGCCTGACAACAGGATATGATGGCAGGAGGGGACCTTGGAAATATGCCCTCCTTCCAAGCACAGGATTGCTGTCTTTGGGGTTCAATCACCAGCAAATTTATTTTATTTACTCCAGTGTGTGTCTGTGCTTGTGCATGCGCAGTGTGTTTGAAGCAAGAGCAGAGTCAGAGCCCTAGAGTCCTAGAGGAGTTAGGGAGAGTGGGGGAGAACTTTGATCAGGGAGGGAATCTGGTGACAGTGGGGTCATTTCAGCTTCCCATAAGCCCCTTACTAGCTGTGTATCTGGCACAAGTCTCTCAATCTCTCTGAAAGCCTCAGAAGGCAGAGGATTAGCTCCTTGTACACAGTAAGCACTCAAATTGGCTGCCATTACTATAGGTTACTGTCTCATGGGATCCATATAGTAACCTGAGGAGGTAGGAAGACGTATACCTCAAAGATATTCCAGGTTCAGTTCCAGACCAACACAAGAAAGCAAGTCACATGAATGTTTTTGGTTTCCCAATGCACATAAAATTTATGTTTACACTATACTGTAGACTAGCAAGAGTGCAATAGCATTGTCTAATAAAACAATATACATACCTAAATTTAAAAATACTTTATTGCTAAAAATGCTAATGATCAATCTGAGCTTTCGGTGAGTCGTACTCTTTTTGCTGGTGGAGGGTCTTGCCTCGAGGTTGATGGCTGCTGACTGGTCAGGGTGGTGGCTGCTGAAGGTTGGGGTGGCTGTGGCAATTTCTTAAAATAAGACATCAGTGAAGTTTGTCTCATCAATTGACTCTTCCTTTCATGAAAGATTTCTCTGTAGCATGCGATGCTGTTTGATAGCATTTTGCCCACAGTAGAACTTCTTTCAAAATTGGAGTCAATCCTCTCAAACCCTGCTGCTGCTTTGTCAACTAAGTTTATGTAATATTCTAAATCCTTTGTTGTCATTTCAACAATGTTCACAGCATCTTCACCAGGTGTAGATTCCATCTCAAGAAACCACTTTCTTTGCGTATCCATAAGAAACAGCTCCTTATCTGTTACAGTTTTATCATGAGATTGCAGCAATTCAGTTACATCTCTCGGCTCTACTTCTAATTCTAGTTCTCTTGCTATTTCCACCACATCTGCACTTACTTCCTCCACTGAAGTCTTGAACCCATCATAGTCATCAATGAGGGTGGGAATCAACTTCTTCCAAACCCCTGTTAACGTTGACATTTTGACCTCCTCCCATGAATCACGAATGTTTTTAATGGCATCTAAAATGGTGAATCCTTTCCAGAAGGTTTTCAATTTGCTTTGCCCAGATCCATCAGAGACATCTCTATCCATGGCAGCTAGAGCCTTATGAAACGTATTTCTCAAATAATAAGACTTGAAGGTCGAAATTACTCCTTGATCCATGGGCTGCAGAATGGATGTTGTGTTAGCGGGCATGAAAACAACATTAATCTCCTTGTATATCTCCATCAGAGCTCTTGGATGACTAGGGGCATTGTCAATGAGCAGTAATATTTTGAAAGGAATCTTCTTTTCTGAGCAGTAGGTCTCAACAGTGGGTTTAAAATACTCAGTAAACCACACTGTAAACAGATGTGCTGTCATCCGGGCTTTGCTGTTCCATTTATATAGCACAGGTAGAGTAGATTTAGTATAATTCTTAAGGGCCCTAGGATTTTCAGAATGGTAAACAAGCATTGGCTTCAACTTAAAGTCACCAGCTGCATTAGCCCCTAACAAGAGAGTCAGCCTGTCCTTTGAAGCTTTGAAGCCAGGCACTGACTTCTCCTCTCTAGCTATGAAAGTCCTAGATGGCATCTTCTTCCAACAGAAGGCTGTTTCATCTACATTGAAAATCTGTTGTTTAGTGTAGCCACCTTCATCAATGATCTTAGCTAAAGCTTCTGGATAACTTGCTGCAGCTTCTACATCAACACTAGCTGCTTCACCCTTTGCTTTTATGTTGTGGAAACGGCTTCTTTCCTTAAACCTCATGAACCAACCTCTGCTAGCTTCAAACTTTTCTTCTGCGGCTTCTACACCTCTCTCAGCTTTCATAGAGTTGAAGAGAGTTAGGGCCTTGTTCTGGATTAGGCTTTGGCTTAAGGGAATGTTGTGGCTGGTCTGATCTTCTATCCAGACCACTAAAACTTTCTCCATATCAGCAATAAGGCTGTTTCGCTTTCTTATCATTCGTGTGTTCATTGGAGTAGCACTTTTAACTTCCTTCAAGAACTTTTCCTTTGCATTTACAACTTGGCTAACTGTTTGCCGCAGGAGGCCTAGCCTTCGGCCTATCTCGGCTTTTGACATACCTTCCTCACTGAGTTTAATCATTTCTAGTTTTTGATTTAAAGTGAGAGACGTGCGACTCTTCCTTTCACTTGAGCACTTAGAGGCCATTGCAGAGTTATTAATTCGCCTAATCTCAATATTGTTGTGTCTCAGGGAATAGAGAGGCCCAAGAAGAGGGAGAAAGATGGGGAACAATCTGTGGGTGGAGCAGTCAGAACACACACAACATTAAGTTCGCGGTCTTATAAAAGACGCTGTATGTGGCACCCCAAAACAATGACAATAGCAACATCAAACATCACTGATCATAGATCACCATAACAGACACAGAAATCATGAAAAGTTTGAAATATTTTGAGAATTACCAAAATGTAACACAGAGACACGAAGTGAACACATGCTGTTGGAAAAATGGCGCTAATACAATTGCTGGACTCAGGGCTGCCACAAACCCTCAATTTGTTTTTAGAAAGTCCTATCTGCGAAGCGCAATAAAACGAGGTATGCCATAGTATAGTGGCGCGCCGCCAAAGGAAAGCCTCGGGAAGGTTAAGAGAGATACCGGAGAGTGCGTCCGGCACTGGAGGAGGAGGAGGGTTTTTACCAGGCAGCGAGTCCAGAGCCCACGCTGTCAACGACGCGGTGCTGCCTTTTTTCGGAGGCGCTGCGGGAGGGCGCCTGGACACGCTCCCTTAGGAGAGCGAGCAGGTCACAGGACCTGGACGGCGACAAAGCTGAGACCTGAAGCCAGCTCCGCCGCTGAGGCCAACCCTCTGCGCAGCCGCCCCGGGCTGGCGTCCCGAGATAGCCGCCCCCAAGCCGGGCCTGCGCGTGGACGTTCCGCTGTGCCCCGCGCAAAACCGGAAGTACCCGGGCCTAAGGCTGAGGGACCCGGTGGAGCGGAAGTCACTCCCTGAGGCAGTGGCGACAGCCGCGGCGAGAGGATGAACAACAAGTTCGACGCGTGAGTGGCTCGTGGCCGCCCCCGGGGCCCCTTCCCCCAACAGTTCCCCCGCGCCCGCCCCCACTGGGGCTGGGGCGGCGCAAACCCTGCGGCCCTGGCTTCCCTGCCGGGATCAGGCTGCGGCCGGACCTGGCCTGGGCTGGCGGGGAGGAGGGGGCTGGGGAGCGGTGGATCCCGGGGTCCCGGAGACCCCAGGGCCGTCCGAACCGAGGGCGAAGAGCTGAGCCCGGGGGAGGGGTGGCTGTGCCGCCCGGTAGGGGGAGATTTTCGGACGCCCCGCCCCGGTGGATGCGGATTGCCGACGACGTGGAGGGGTGGGGACCTCGGCGGTTTGGGTGTTTCCGCAGTCTGGCCGCGCTGTCTCTGAATCCAGCTTTCCCCACACACTCCCTCTCCCCTCTGAGCCTCAGTTTTCTCATCTGCAGAGTGGGGACGGTAACACCCTTTGTCGTAGAGTTTGGAGGATGCAATGAGGTAATGTGGCGGCTGCCCTCGACGCGGTGGAAGGCTGGCTTAGGAATTAGCATCTTCCTGAGACTCTTCCTACTTTCTTTCTCCTCCCACTCCCTTTCCCGTCTTCCAACACACTCGCCAAGACTTGGGTATACTTGTCGCCCTCTCTTGCCCGCTCCGGTGTCTAGTTTCAGCATCAAACAGTTTGGAGGTACAGAGGGAAAATGCAGAAGTATTTTTACTTATCCCCCTCCAAGGATTGTATCTTGAGGTAGAGTATGTTCCTACCTCTGTTCCAGTAGTCTAGTAAATCTGTCTCTTCATCTGAAAGCCTGGATTTGTAGTCCCAGATTCACCACTTACCAGCTGTTTGACTGTAGAAAAGTTACCCAGTCTCTGAGCCATTGTTGCTCAAACCACGTTAGTGGTTAGTACCCTGCTGCCACAGCAGGGTGTGATAAGGGTCAAATCACACTCAGCAATGCTTAAAGATACTTGTGAACATTGCTAACTACTGAGATGTAAACGTAAAGTGGAATTACTATTAGTTTAGGTTGTGACTTTGTGCTTTTGATGGAAAATTAGGGTTTTTCCAATGCAGAGAGTACTGTGCAAATTCAAGGAGTACTGGATTTCCAACACTCCAGGCAGGTAGGTCCTCAGGCATGTTTGCTGGTTGCTGAGAGGTCTCTGCTACTTGAGAAAGTCTTTGCCCAACCTCTTCTCTATCCTTAGGTTTAACTGAGCCTATCCCTCTACGAACCTCTCCCACACTGCCGCCCCATTTCATCTCTATCGTAAACCCTGCAACACCTAGCTCCAGATCCACATCCTGCCTCAGTGGAGCTTTCTGGAACCTTTATACCCCTTCCTCCACTGATTTGCAAATTAGGATGAAACCAAATTTCATCCTAAGAAGACATCTTATGGGTCATCTAGCTCAGGCCTACCCAAATCATTTGGGGGTCTGCAGTAAGAATGGTAATAATGGACTTCCACAGGGATCTTGCTAGGTACTTTTCATATATATATGTTTTTTGAGCCAGGGTCTCACTGTGTCACCCTGGCTGGAGTGCAGTGGTGTGATCACAGCTCACTACCCACTCAACCTCCTGGGCACCAGCAATCCTACCATCTCAGCCTCCAGAGTAGCTGGGACTACAAGCATGTGCCACCCTGCCTGGCTAATTTTTTTGTATTTTTTGTAGACAGGGTTTCACCATGTTGCCCAGGCTGATGTCCAATTCCTGGACTCTAGAGATCCACCCACCTTGGCCTCCCAAAGTGCTGAGATTACAGGCGGGAGCCACCACCCCCAGCCTCATATGTTATTTCTACTCTTAACAATTCTGTGAAGGGGATCTTGTTATTTCCTTTTACAGATAAGGAAAATGAGACTCTGAGATTAAGTAATGCCCAAGACAACAGGAAAGGAAGGGCTGTCCCAGGTTTGTTGTGTAACCTTGGTTCAAGCACCTTGTGAGAAAAATTAAACTTGTCCACTTTTTTATCTTAGCTCTTCTATGATTGAATAACCTGGGTCATTTTAATCACTTTGAATTATTAACTATTATATTGAACCAGAATCTTTTAACATCTACCCTCTAGCATTGCAGGAAAAAGAAAAACAAGCTTTCTTTCATTTGAAATTAGCAATTGAAAACAGCACTCCTGCCCCTAGTTTTATTTTTTTATGTTGTTTTTCATTCAGAAATTCTGCAGTTTTTAGGCCATTGCTGCATATTAGGAGTCTTTATCACATTGCTCTCTTTACTAATCTGCACTCTTTACCATATTGCTCTTAAGGACATGTTCCAGTTTGCCAGAATTCTTCCAGAAATCCAGTGGCTGGAGCTGAGTAGAGTAGTATATAATCTAATGGGCTCATATTAAAGATTAGCTCTAATCTCCGTTACTGTATGGACTCAACTTCTCTGAATGAAACCTTTGATTATAATTGCTTTTGTGGAGAGGGGGTAGACCTATCAAGTCCTTAGATCGCATTGCCAGTGATCCTATTGATATGTAAAACCCTAAGATGCTTTCACAAAAACTGCAGTCCTGACATAGTTAAACATGGTTTTCATATCGAGACCACTGTACTTGATTTTGTCTGTATTCTACATCATTTGCTTTTTATTCTGTATCGTTAACTTTGGGCCCATTCCTAACTATTGTCTAAACCACTTATTTGGCACTCATTGCTTTGATTCTATAGACCCATTCATTAAATGGAAATTTGTTTTATGCCACTGTCTGATGGTGGGGGTATAAAGATGAATTGAACCAAGGTCTTGCCCACAAGGAATTGGTCTAGTTCAGAGGGTGAGGAAATACCTGGGCAGAAGCTTAGCAAGCTAACTAAAGTTCCTGTCAGTCTGGACAGCCTCAGAGTTGCTACCTGACTGCCCGAGTTTACAGAGCACTGATTTTTCAGGCTGAGTGGTATCTTGACTCAAATCCAGCTTGAAGCTGGGAAGAGTAGCTTATAAGATTTGCCTTAAATGTAGGCTTAGAGGGCAGAGTAGTTGGTTAGTTCCACCCTCAGGTAATAAAAGCACTAGATGTAGGTCCATTAGGGTTCCCATTTACTGTCTTAGATGGCTCAAGCCTGTAATCCCAGCACTTTGGGAGGCCGAGACGGGCGGATCACGAGGTCAGGAGATCGAGACCATCCTGGCTAACACGGTGAAACCCCGTCTCTACTAAAAAAAAAAACACAAAAAACTAGCCGGGCGAGGTGGCGGGCGCCTGTAGTCCCAGCTACTCCGGAGGCTGAGGCAGGAGAATGGCGTAAACCCGGGAGGCGGAGCTTGCAGTGAGCTGAGATCCGGCCACTGCAATCCAGTCGGGGCTACAGAGCAAGACTCCGTCTCAAAAAAAAAAAAAAAAAAAAGAAAGGAATCCGAAGTGGTCCAGGGATCACAGGAACATTGTTTCTTCTCTGACAATTATTTTTGTTAGTTTTTTCTCTGTTTCCTGGTAGTGATCAGCAGCAAAACCACTAAAAAGAAAGGAAGGTCTATGCTTTTCTTGGGACTAGCAAAAACAAGATGCTGGGATGACTATACCCCTCTTCAACCAAGATCTAAACGCAAGGGACCCCAGAGGCTATAGTAGGAGTTGGAAGCTAAGAAGAGAGGAATAGGGTTTACATCCCAGGGGTGTGCCCTAAAGAAGAGAGCTGAGAGCTGTCCTGGCCTAAGCAGAAGAACCCTTGAGATGTTCTTGATCAGGAGACAGAACTGGCCATGAGAGTATAGCTGGAACAAGTGCAAACATTTATATGGGGAAGTTCAGAAGAGGAGAGCCCAACTTAGCCTAGGTTGGGAGAGGTTAGGAAATGTTTCCAAGAGAAAGTGGCCCTCAGTCTGAGTCCTGTAGGACAAGTTAACTAGGCAAAGAAGGACTTCTTGAGGAGAGACCACATGATGAGCACAGCAGAAGGATAAAATTGGGGCATCAAAATTAGGATGATACAACTGGAGTGAAAAGAGTTCGTTGGGACCAGGAGGGAGATGATATTGGGACATGTGAGCAGAGCAGGGGCCTTTGCACCATGCTGAGGCGTAGATATATATCTGTGAACCTTTTCTCCTCAGCTAGGTCCTTGGGGACAAGCACTCTGGTAGCTCATACACACCACAGATGCTTGGTAGATGTTGGTAATTTTTAATCCATAGATCTTGTGTGCTAGACGGGCTCCTTTTGAAAAGGAAACCAAATGTTTAATAAAGGGGAAGGGAATATCATAAGCGCAGATGATGGTCTCCTGAAAGTCCAGGGAGGCTGAATAAAAGCCAGAGAGATGGTAGCACCAGCAACAAAATGAAAGTCCCCTGCATTTTCTCTGCTCATCTGCTCCATTCTCTTATCTCCTACTGGCTTTCTCTGCTTTTGCTCATTGTCTTAATTCTTTCAGGGCTTTTCTTGCATGGGGCGCATATGGCTGCCGCAACTCCTAAGTCTATGATCTTTCTCCTCCTAGATGAATGCTGAGGGAGGAATCTGCTTATATATTTGAGCAAGGCCTTGGGGCATAGGTTATTCCCCAGGCTGGACTGCCCTTTGGTCAGGTGCCCTTCCTAGTTGTGTCTTGACCAGGGTAGGGATGGGAAGGTTCATGGCACAGGGCATAACCTCCTGAGATTATCCTACAGCTAGGCCTGTGAAATGGGCAGAGCAGGGACCCCAACATGTGACTAGTGCATTCATTCTAATATTTATTGGGTGCTTTTAATGTATCAGGCACTGGGGATTCATGGGCCAAAAAAAAAAAAAAACCACAAAGTACCCTGCAACATGTTTATGTATCTGC